GAGTCTTGTCTTGAATCGTTGTATGTTTCCATCGTTATTGCTTTTTCAGTTTGTACATCTATCAATTGTCTATAATTTAGTGAGATCTGATGGTAAATTTATTAATTAATGTTTGATTTTTTCTCAAGGAATCGATTTCGTCATCATAGTCTTCCGGTTCATAGTGTTCTGTGATTACAACGTTTCCGTACTGTCCTGCATATCTTATTTCTATCTCTCTAACGGCAAATTATTTGTTTTTACCGGATTGATTTTGATTTTCTGTATTTTTTGATTCTTTATTTGAATTCAATTGCTCGTTGTTTTCTGATTGAATAACGATTTTCGATTCGACATCTATATTTATTGTGTCATCTTTTTGATATTCAAAGATTGTGATGTGATTTTCATTTTTCATTTGAATTAATTTCGTAATATTAGTCTATAAATCCTACATCTTTATTTTAACTTGTTCTTTCAGGAAGCCAGATCCGAAATCGTTTTGTGTTTTCATCATATCTGACGAAAACGCCTTTTTCAGCTTTGATGTCCCATTTTTGTTTTTTTTTTTTAGGAATATGGAAAAATACTTCTTCCTGTTTCTAAGGCTCGAGATATTCGGTCTCTTCTTGAGCCACAGCTCAATGGATGTTACTCCTTTCTCTCCACTGGTTCCTGTTCTATTTAAAGTGTAAATGGTATAATTAATTGCCCATATTTTGATCGGCAGTTTTCTTGCAAAGGCGTTCTACCCAGATCAATTATAGTTCTGTTTTCCCGTTCGGCGGAACCATTCTGTTCCGGAATAAATGGTATTGTTTTTTGATGCGTAATACCATATTGATGTATTAATTCCTCAATTTCCCCATTGGCGAATTCAAGACCGTTATCTGAAAATTTTTATTCCTTTTTTAAATGCTTATCAGTTTTCGTGGTGTCTCTGATTTGTTTTTGATGAAATATAAACTTCTCCAATGGCTGTAGTCATCTTTAAAAAGTATCTAGTACCTCCAAATGAATTTTCTTGCATCGGATTCGAGAGATGAGTTTTTCGTTGCGTTCAGATTTTGTATCAGTTTTTGGAAATAGTAATCTGTACATTTTCTCTAGGATGCAATCATCGCAGCAAAACTTTTGATTCTTAACGCTAAACCTACCGACATTTCATGTATACCTATTCCTACCATGAGCAATCAAATGACCGCTGCAAAAAACATTTGTATCTTAATATAGAAAGAGATTTTAGCTAATTGGATATTAAACAAAATATTTTTCTGGTGCTTCAATAAAAAACGCTCCCCACTTTTCTAATTAACAAGTTTTATTTACATTTATGCATTCTCAACACATTTTTTACAAATTACAGCACTTTGCATTGCATATTTTCTACATACGTATTTTTTACATTTTATACAAATTTTGTTAGTCTTATTGACTTTACAATATCTTACTTGACAAGATTTCCGTTCAGAAGAATCTGTAGCAGTGTTTATAATTGTTTTTGATGAACATTCTTTGCTAAGCTCTTCTACCAATTGAAATAAAAATTCTTGCCTCGATATTTCTTCGCCCGTCGTTTCTTTATATAGAATCCAAGCATTTATTCCGGTTAAATCTAAAATATTGAAAAATACCTGTAAAGGCCATCTTTGTGATTTAGATTTAACACTATATTTTCTGGCCATTTGATCGGTTACATCTACACCGAATTTTGTGCTATTGTAAAATCTAATTGTCTCTGGCAACCGGGTATCACTTTTTTCAATTTCAACAGATGAATGCATTGAACTAAGAATCAATACTTTTTTATTGGGTTTAGTTTTATAAATTGAAAAAATAAAATCATTCGCTTTGTATAATATTGTTGAAAAGCGTGGCATACTATCCTTTGCCTGTCTCGCTAATTTTGGTAGCTCTCTTTTATTTCTGCGAATGGTTCCAACAGGCGTAGTTTTTTTTTGCTAGAAGTTTACTCGCTAATGACGTGCTTGTAAAAAAATTGTCAGTTGTTATATTTCTCCCATGGCCCCCATATGGTTCTGCTAATTTCAAAGCTACATACTCCCCAAGGGAACCGATGATTCTCTCCCTTCATCTTTTCTTAAATATGGAAAGCCGTTCACTATATACTTACTACTCACATCAGAAGCTAACCAGAATTTTATGCCAAATTTATCCGGTTTGTTGGGCATGTATGAGTAAATCTACAACGTGCTTTTGTAAGAAACAATTGTTCATCTATAACAACATATTTTCCTGGTTTATAACAGTTTTGACTGTTTTCGATAAATTTGTACCAAACTTCAGAGATCAAAGCGAACTTATCGTTTTGTAAGCGTTAGCTTTGCTTATTCTTGTTGTCAAACCTAATAAATCTCATGATTTCTACAAAGTCATTTCGGCTCATAATTTTCGAGAAAAATGACGGACCCCATTTCGTGTTCCATAAATATGATACATCCATATTTTTAGCCTCATATGCGCCGCATGCATATAGAAGTCCAATAAATGCATATAATTTCGCAGTTGATACTTTCCATTTCGTTTTCAAAACTCGAAATGCTTCTAATTCAGTATATTTTCTTATACGTTCAATCATGTTATGATCAATAATCAAGGAAAATGCTGATTCAATTCCGTCCTTTATGATATTTTTATTAGCGTATCCTGTCGGTCCTGATATTTCCTTGAAAATATTATAAATCGGTGTTCTTATCTAATATTATCTAATATTATCTAATATTATCTAATATTATTTAATATTATCTAATATTATAAATCGCGATTATACCCTCCTTTTATTTTTTCCCAAACATTTCCGTCTATAGCAGTTTCAATATTTTCTTTATTTTCGCTTTCGGAACTAACTATGAATCTCTTTCTTTTTTGTCCTCTTCGTATATTCAAAATATTCTCTTCGTCCGAATCGCTATCAAATAAGTCACAATTATTTTCTGCTATATCATTATCAATATCGGAAAACTCTTAATCATCTTTCGAACAATCTTCGTCGATATTATTTATTTTCTCTAATAAATTAATCTCTCTCGAATGTCTTGACATTTTTGGGGATGAATATATAAATGATAAAGTAAAAACTAAAATATAAAATGATAAATCAAACGAGACAAAAAGATTGAATACCAGAAATAAAAAAAAAAACAATTGTGAATCATATCACGAAATATTGTTGGCTCTGTTGACTTTGTTAAAACTATCACTTATATCACGTAATACTTTTTATTATACACTGTAAAATTTTGATGTTCTCTGTTCGGATCGCAAGACCGTACTGTCGTACAAAGAACGCAATGCATTTGTTCTAACCACGCCTCTGTCTACACTGTATATCCACAATTACATTGTAGACTCGAAAAACCATTTCAGGAGTGCGCTCTTCGAAAAATATAGTCGTAAATAACATGAATTTTTCAAACGGTCAAATGACCGTTCTTGGTAGACTAGACTTGCTATGAAATTTTTTCGTAAAGTAAACAATACAGAAAGTTGTGAATATTGAAAAATGGGTTGTATCTACATTATAGAAAAAGTCAATAAGTCATATGGCGATACAGTAACTTTGTATACAAGAAATTCTAAACGAAATTTCAAAAACGGTCATTTGACCGCGCGTGGTAAGTTTAGTGTTAATAATAATAATAAAAATCGGATAATCCACATGGCTTTTCAATTTAACTGTACTTTACATAATTATTTATCGTTTCTTTTGTAATTTGGACCCATAGTCTATTGACTGATTAGTGAAAACAATAAATAAAATGTAAAGATTTAGTTGAATGAATATATTTAATTATATGTCAATTATATGTTTATAAAACATTTGAAGTGTATGTATCGAAGAAAAATAAATAGATACCAGTTATGAAATAGTGATGCTAATAACATTCAATAATAAAATCACAAACAAATTTCAGTTCACTTTTAATGGGAGTGTTAGAATTTATATAGAATTTAAAGTTCATTGAAATTTTATTTGTGATTTTATTATTAAATATTGTTGACAGCATCACTATTTAGTTAACGTAGTTGGTATCTATTTGTTTTTCTTTGATATACACACTTCGAATCTTGTAAACAGATACACGCAACTATGTATAATTAAATATATTCATTCAGTTAAATCCGTGCATTTTATTTATTGTTTTCACTTCCCAGTCGACAAATATTATTAAGAATGTAAATGAATTGATGATGTAATGAATGTTTCAGATTCCAAATAGTTGACTTCAAATACGCCAGGAAGCGGAGATTAGAGAATATTCATCAATATCCATTCAATAATCTGAAATATAATACAGACTTTCACTAATTACATCATGCTCAAAACATTTTCATTTTCAGGAAGATCAGAATCTCAACCATAATAACGCAGGAATGGCTGTTATACAACATTTATTACTGGATTTGTTTTAAAGCTCTGATTTAAATCCCAGTCGGCAAAAAAAATAAGGATGGCTCTGTAACATGTACAGAGAGTGGAACAGTCCATTGTGCCATACTTGCTACTAGAATACACACAATATATACACGAGTTGAAACAAAATAGAGAAAGCGGAAGAATAGTTTCAAAACATATATAACGTTGCCATACTCTAAGCCAAACCGACTATGCGGATCATATATTAATAGTCGAACTATATAGCACAACTATGCATCGAATGCATCAACAGAGCTCGCAAGAAAAGAATCTTTAATTCAACGAAGACAATAGACTTATACAAGCTAAGATAATAGCTCTTCAAATCGTCATGAAGACAAGTTTGGGAGAAACTTAATAATTCGTGCAAAGCGTTCATATGATTTATATATTTATTGGGAAGATTAAGACACTATCTCGATCAGATATTCTAAACATATTATGAATATTCTCTTCTCGGATTGGTAGGAATTGAACATCCAGAAACCAACAAATACAAATATCTAATCCGCTGACATGAAGATTTCTAAGAAGAAGCTCATTGATGTAATATTGTTTTGAACTTCGACAACAACCAAGGCCACATCGATTATTTCATGTATAGTGGATAAAGTACGAAAGTATTCGAATGCTTAAATTTGTAATTTTTGATGAAATAAATATGTTAAAAAAATTCGTTTTGAGAAAGACAATGAGAGGTGTATAATATAGGAAAGAAATCTCAAAATTATGTCAGCAAAATTCGAAAATGATTCACCAATTTATATAGTAGTTATAATACATTTATTATATATACGCGCTATTAATAGGTTACAAAAGTATTTGAACACTGATAGGTTATTAATAGTTTTTATATATTTTAGCCAGAAATGTAAACTGGTACTAAATGAGAGCATTACATTCAATTAATGTCAAGCTATCGTTCCATTAACAGTAATATAAAAGCTATAATATACAAAATGAATCCAAAAAAGTTTGAAATACAAAAATGTGAACGAGAAACTATCCTTTGGCTGCATAAAGATAAGAAATCATATAGTAAAATAGCAAAAATTGTAAACAAAAGTAAATCTACGGTAAAATTACATCATAAAAAAAATCAAAAACTAAAGGAACAGTTGTGAACAAAGCTCGTTCAGATCGACCAAGAAAATTAATTGAAAGAGAGGAAAAAATTATTATTCGCGAAATAAAAAAAAAAAACCTACTATATCTGCATCTACACTTTCAAGTATTATATCTCCAATTATATCGACGAGTCTTACGAAATAATAATTTTTATAGTATAACTCATGAAGTACTAAGAAGAAAGCCATATATTAATAAGCAAAATTAAAAGAAGAAATTAACTTTCTTTAAAAAGTTTCTTTAACATATATATTTTGTTTATCAAAAATTATAAATGTAAGCGTTCGAATACTTTTGTTATCCACTATGTCTAAGATTCAGGTGGGTCTATAGAAGAAAAGGCGAATGATCCTTTTGATGAAGAAGCAAAGCTTCACAGGCGATTATTCTACCAGCTTATTTATTTGTTGAAATTTTTCAAGCAAGTGATCGTTTTTCGCCTTTTCAGCAAGATTTAATCGAGTATCAATATGGATTTTAAGAAAGTCGTTCAATGATCGATGCGATTGAACATATCAGAATCTTCTCGAAGTTGGCCGTTTTCCAGAATGGAATTTATTTAATGAATGTGATAAATGCATTCAATTCCCTAATTAAGCAGAGATATGAAAAGTATTATCATCAAGTGTTTTCCTATATAGAATATTTATAAAGTTCCTTATGCACGAAAAGAGGATTCCATTCTGTAGAAGTCAATTTTAGATCCATTAATGTATAACATGGCATAGGATATTGTGCATTTTTCTGTCTCTCAACATCAATCTGACATGTTACGTGAAGATACACTGGTGATAACCGGCTGTAGAAAGGAATCAAACCTTATAGATGATCATGACTTCGGTTATCCATCGACTGGAGTTGGAAATGGAATGTCTCAAAATTGAAGCATTGTAGATTTTATTTGGAAAAATCTCGATTTGTATGTCCATCTCAAATATATCTAGTTAGAAGATATCATGAAGTATATTAATCTCTTTCTGGACGATTTTTGATGTTTCGAAATCCACTTCAACTATCTCGTTCCTCGATTAGAAAGAGTTGCGATCTCGCTTGGCCATTTACTGTTCAATTTAGAGAAATTAGAAATAAAATTTCGTTATGTAGAATTATGACTATATACGAATTGTACGAAGCACTAATGTAATCTGATAATCAGTCGCCATGACAAATTTAACGTTAACTTCAAGATCGTGATAAAATACATCAGATGCACAGTCTTTATGCGATAGCAATGATATTGATAGTTTTACTATCTTTATATCTTTATATATTGATAAAGGAATACACTTACAAGTATTTATGCAGGAGTCTGTTACCAAGAGCAATTGAAAGTACAAGATATCAAAATCAGAAATGAATTCCAGAGTTTTGTTATTATTTTATTAAAAATTTTGTACTCAATATGGATGCTTTGGATACTATCTGTGTCATATTAACACATTCACG